CGTATTTGTCTGTGGGTGCTATTATTCAAGGTGAGTATTAAACATCCGAGAGATTATCGTTGCACGATTCTCTTGTTTGTGTGCCAGTGCATATAGGCCCGCACATACTCTAAAACCCTACAAGTGAAATCTAGAACCACATAAGCCTGGGTGTATGGGACTACCCCAAAGGACATTTCAGAAAACGTGGGCAATTGGCCTGTTGATTAATAGGGTTGTTGGGTTTTGGTTTTGTTGGGTTTTTCAGCTCTATGTCCTGTGTGTCTCGTCCTTGACAACCGATAGTCTCACATGTCCAAACTGTATTGTGCTCTACTTAGATGGATTAAATGGTTATGAGTTAATAATGCTAAGGACGTTAAACAGTTATACTAGCAACCGTATACGTGATCTACCTAGATGGATCTGATACACCCATCTCACCTATTGTCTTTGTCTTCGTTTATCCCCCACGCCCGCCCAGGCGAACTCGACGCCCCCGACTGGGGATGCAGAGTCAAACAACAACCTACCGCATCAACACAAACACACACAGAGAGAGACGGAGCTACACGGTGGTAACAATGCGCCCAACACATCCACAAGTACACACTCACACTCACACCCGGGCCACGAGGTGGGTGTGAGCGCTAGGGAGGGGACTGATAGGGATGCGGTTAGTGTGCACCTGACAACACCTGAACGACTGGACAGAGCTCAGATACAGCAGGCGCAGCCATTGCTACAGCAGCAACTGGCCGAATCAGAGTCAAAGACAGGTGGGGGTATGGCTGTGGGTTGTGAATGAGTGGATGCTTGTCAATAAATTATCTATCTGTATATATATATATGTATATAATATACATAAATATAAATATATATATATGTGTATATATATATATATATATATATATATATATATATATATATATATATATACATATATATATATATATATATATATTTATCTATATCCATATCCATATCCATGTCTATATCTATACGCATATCTATATCTACATATATATATATCTATACATATTTGTGGTCTGAATACTACGTAACAAGTGCTCTCCATCTCCTTTCTGTTCTATGCTCTCAGTTATCCCTGATATTTGATTTGTTGTGTTTTAGAAATTAAGCCAACCAGTGCATCTGATGATGAAGAAATGAGACAGATTGAAGTGGAGCAGGCCTTGCTGCAAGTCATGGACAACGCCAGTCCATCGATCACAGCCCAGATGAGTACAAACAACGGTAAGCATATATATATATATATATAATATACAATATACAATATATATGTATATGTATACATATATATATATATATATGTGTGTGTGTGTGTGTGTGTGTGTGTATGCATATAGTCTAATGCATCGTACTCTTATATACTGGGTAGTGTTCATGTTAGCAGTGACTTTGCACATGATTGCGGTTTCATTACTCAAGGTATTTATGTGTTATAAAACTACTAGGTACTCGTGTATATGCACTTATCCATGGATTTTCCTCAGCGTACTAAACGCCTATCAACATATCGTAGTGATGGAGTTCGAATCGATAGCTTTCCATAAACCATTTGAGTTTGATTGGCTGGTACTGCTCGCATGCCCCCTGCTCGTACACTTCTGTTTGAACATGGTTTATAAGTGTATACTACGTACACCCCTGTTTAAACATGGTTTATAAGTGTATACTACGTACACCCCTGTTTAAACATTGTTTATAAGTGTATACTACGCATGTTTGACCATATATTGTATGTCTGTGTTTAAACACGCTACAGCAGCAGAGTATACTGCGCATGCTCACCCTTAAAGGGTATCCATAGGCAAGCACAACATGCTACAGTTGTGCTAGTGTAGAGGTCCTCTGCAGCCAAAAATACTTATACAGACCAGATGCCGGACTGTCTTTACGCACACGCCTGAGTACCAATTACGGAGTGATACGATGCTTCTATTACGAGGTGGGGGGTCTTATTTGACACTGTACATACACACCACTCATAAGTGCATGCATTCTAACACCCGCACCCGAACACTTGGGACTATTCAGATACTGCCACCGCACAACAGCAGCCCGACCCACTCGGAGTTGGTATCAGCTCCCAACATACCAGGAAGCTAACTGATACGAACTCAGCCGATGAGTTGAAGAGTCTGCGAGAGGCTATAGACGAACGGGGGTCTTTTATTCATCACAAAAGAACTTCCCCACCCACATCATCAACACCCCCGCCAAGACTCATTAGTGCACGGGTATGTAGGAGCTATACCCTTCTCATAATATATATATATATGTGTGTGTGTGTGTGAGAGAGAGAGAGAGCGTGTGTTTGTGTGTGTGAGAGCGTGTGTTGTGTGTTTGTGTGTGTGTGTGTTTGTATGTATGTATATGTATATATATATATATATATATATATATGTATATATATATATATATATATATATAAATATATATATATATATTGTGCGTGTATGTATATGTATATGTATACGTATATCTATATGTATATGTATATGTATTGACGAAGTTTTTTCTTGGTGATGTTGTTTGTGTATGTGGCGCTGTATGCATTTGGTTGCAGGCTCTCTTTACGGTGTGTGTATACTTTGTCTTTTGTCTGTCCTTGCTCTCGCGGTGCTTTTGTCTATCATACACGCACGAACACTGGTGCGGCATCCTCTCACTCTGTCTAACTCCTCATTGTGTGCACCTCATTTTCTATTTAGGGCCCTCACATGGGTGTCCCAAATGACAGAAACAGGACAGGTGCCACCTCAGCGGTACAGCTACCTGTCATAGCCGCTATGGCCTCAGCGGCCGACGGTGACGATGCGGAGTATCAAAAGCTGTTACAAAGGTGTGTGTGTGATAATGTATTTGTGTGTGTGTTGTGTGTGATATATATTATATAATGTTTGAGTGATGTATATGTGTGTGTGTTGTGTGTGATATATATTATATAATGTTTGAGTGATGTATATGTGTGTGATATATATATATATTTATATATGTGTGTGTGTCTTGTATCCGAGTCTGTTGTGGTGTATGGCATATTCATGTGTGTGTGTTGTACCAGAATCAGCGGTCAAAGTGCGTTTGTCAGGTACATATGCATGTGCGAGTTACATCAGAAACTGATTAAACGCTCTTTCGACTGTATGTGTGCCTATTATTTGAAATGTGAATATGTATTGCTGTGTCATGGTGAGGGGTTGGTGATAAAGCGCTACTTAGAAACGTTATCTGTGATGGAATATAGTACTCCACTATAAACTATATTGATATGTAGTGATTTACCTACCTATAGTGAGTTGTCAGTTTTTATAGTTAGTGGTTGACAAGGAGAATGCAGTTTTGTATGAGTGCGTACAGTTTATGCCCATCCCATTTTCGTATGCAAGTTGTACGTGTGAACGCTTTTCGACCTCAACCAACTCTCTCTATCGAGCTTGGCAGGTAAATCAATCCCGCAAAAAAAACTTGGTTTATAACACGTCACTGACGCGATCAATCTGTTCAAACCCTATAACTGCAGGCACCGAGCACAGGGTGATACGGCGGCTTCCATATTTGGTACCCGTAGCGACGAGGACATTCTACCTACTTCATCTGTCGGTAGTATCCAACCCCAACCCCAACCCAAACCCAACCCAAACCCAACCGCAACTCTAAGCCCCAAAGTGATTGGTGGCGGCCCTACAGTGAATAGGGGACTACCGAATGCGTCTAGTACCGCCAACCAAGTTTTTACCAAAGGTGTGGGATGTGATCGTACTATCTGTGTGTTTGGGTTGATATGGTGGAGAGATATGCATGTGTTGATGTTGTGTATAGGTATAGACGCACATGTGTTGACTAGTATATATAGATATATATTATAAGGTCTGATATATGTAACTTGTGTATAAATATATGTCATAAGGTCTGATATATGTAACTTATATATAAATATATGTCATAAGGTCTGATATATGTAACTTATATATAAATATATATCATACGGTCTGATATATGTACAATTTATATATAAATATATATCAAAAGGTCTGATATACGTAACTTACATATAAATATATATCATAAGGTCTGATATATGTAACATATATAAATATATATCATAAGGTCTGATATATGTAACTGTGTACATTACTGAAGTACGAGTGTATGACAGAGCGTCAATACATATAGCTATGCCCATGTGCCGATATCATGTGGAGATCTAAAGCATCGAAATACAATGAAGTTGTGGCATGTTGAGTTATGAGTTGACTGAGTGTCGAATTATGATGAGCTTGTGACATGTGTGGTGGCGTTTATTCTCGTTGTTGTTGTTGTGTTGAGCGATCAGATTTTGGCGCGGTGCTTGGTAGGTATATATTCTCGTTGCATACACACCTTTTTTCTGGCGTCTCTCCGAACAAAGAAGTCGGTTGATAGTGGTGTACGGCCCACTATATCTGAGGAACCCTATACCCTAAAATCGGGACAACGCAAACCCAAAATGGACCGATTCAAGATTTTGCCCTGGGCAGAACCCGTCTCACTGTGGTCCCTTTTTTTAATTCGCCGCTTATTCCTAATATGGGTTGCTGTCGCCCAATGACATCTTCGCCTCTTTGCGCCAATCAAATTACCTTGACCCCGCAAATAGGGGCTTAGCTATGCTTTGGCATTCGTCTACTGCGTTTAGGGTTTTAAGCTTTTAAATTTTGGGGGTTTTATGGTGTGGGAGGCTACTGCGGCTCTGCAAGGCTGGGATTATGCGCAAGAACCATCTTGCGTTATCGCATGTGCGATGTACTTAAGTGGTTGCAGGTGGCTGTGTCGGTGTTCGAGCGTACTAACATTTTCGCATTGGATTCCTTGTACACATACGCTCGTTTTAGGGTTTTAGACGTCTTAGCACGACCTCAATATACGTTCATATATGCGGTCCGGGCCAATCGGATTGGAGCTTGGGTTTTAAGTCTGTGTTGTGTAGCAATTCTTGCGATTTCTTATGCCTGCCCATAAGCTGTGTTGTAGCTACATTCCGTGTGCTAGGCTTGTCTTGTATGGAGTATACTCTGATCAAGCCTGTGTGTTGGGGTCTGTAGGCATCCAACCTACCTAATTGCCTAATCATCTATCTATCGTTCGTTCTGCGGTGACGGAATATGTGCTCAACAGGTCAACTGTCCCTGTGCGATACATAGGCCTCCCCGCAACCCCCACATTCAGTACCAAGTCTTGGTGAGCTTCGTTCGATAACTACACCTCTATACCATTTACCACATACCACCTGTGTTGAATAGACATATATTCAATATACACCTGTGTGTGTTGAGACATCAACACACTCACCTCTAACAACATGGTCGTCACATCTCATTCTGTGCATCGGCCACTACAGAACCCATGGCCTATTCGACCGCTGCAGAAGCCAAACAAGGGGCCAATAATATGTCCCAGAACAGCGCACCCGACCCCAGTGAAAACGGACCTAAACGGGTGCTTACGCATAAAGTTCTTCCCGCGACAGGCGATAAAGCGGCTGAAGCTGTTTATAGGCTGCCCATGGGATCCCCAGGAAGCAGGAACAAGCTGTCTCCTACTCTCCAAGCGACTCAGCAAATGCCACAGATAAATTCACAGTCCCGTAAGCATACACTCACAGACACGCCCACACACCACACCGCACACCCACCACCAGGCCAGGGCCAAGCGAACCCGAAAGCCAAAGTGCGACCCACCTGGGAGGCTGACAACAGAGCTACCCACTCTGGGGTAAGACCTACTCAGATAACCAGAACTAAAGCTGCTACAGGCCGGGGGGCGAGGATTATTAGTAAAGTGCTCACACACGCCCGCCTGAGTGCCGCTGGGGGAGCGAAAACGAAGGCTGGACTACATATTGGTCCCGCTTTGGATACCGGTTTATCCGGTGGTGCTAATATGATTATTTTAGGAGACGACGATGCAGATACGACGACGAATACAAATGCGCACGGGCCCAAAACCCAGACCACACCGGACGATAGTGAAGCAATAGTAATCGATTAAAGCCCATGAGTTGGCTGTGTAAGACTGGGACCCACATTTACAGTCCTTAATTTGTTTGGTCAGGTGCTTGAAATGGGTCCATTGCTGCCTACTGGCACAAAGTGCAGAGGTATACAGACCCATATGTTTTTTAAATTTGCGTGTGTGTTGTGTATGTGGATATGCGATTGCGGCTTCCAAATGGATGGCTGTGCGCATTGCTTTATGTACTATTCAATATCATACGAATTTCGAAATCCGTTCAGCAGACGTTTACGTACGGTATATATAGCAGGACCCTCTCACTGCCGATACCACAAGTTTTGTCAGATGAGCTAGTTGAATTGAGTTGGCGGGGAATCTACAACCATGCTGTCAGCGTTTAATTGGACTTGTGCATGAACGCCGCCAAAAAAAAATCGATGGCCATAGGAATATTTGTGGCGCCACCATTGGCTCTAATTGATATGGAATGGGTGCGAACGATCGCCAAATACACATATACATGTATCACACGGAAACATCAGGTATATAATAGTATATACACTATAACA